TCCACCAGAGTGCACGTGGTTGTATTGAGGTAGCTGAATGGAGAGTGCGCTTGCTCCACCAGAGTGCACGTGGTTGTATTGAGGTAGCTGAGTGGAGCAGTGCGCTTGCTCCACCAGAGTGCACGTGGTTGTATTGAGGTAGCTGAGTGGAGCAGTCCACTTGCTCCACCAGAGTGCACGTGGTTGTATTGAGGTAGCTGAGTGGAGCAGTGCGCTTGCTCCACCAGAGTGCACGTGGTTGTATTGGGGTAGCTGAGTGGAGCAGTGCGCTTGCTCCACCAGAGTGCACGTGGTTGTATTGAGGTAGCTGAATGGAGCAGTGCGCTTGCTCCACCAGAGTGCACGTGGTTGTATTGGGGTAGCTGAGTGGAGCAGTGCGCTTGCTCCACCAGAGTGCACGTGGTTGTATTGAGGTAGCTGAATGGAGCAGTGCGCTTGCTCCACCAGAGTGCACGTGGTTGTATTGGGGTAGCTGGGTGGAGCAGTCCACTTTCTCCACCAGAGTGCACGTGGTCGTATTGGGGTAGCTGAGTGGAGCAGTCCACTTGCACCACCAGAGTGCACGTGGTCGTATTGGGGTAGCTGAGTGGAGCAGTCCACTTGCTCCACCAGAGTCCACGTGGTTGTGTTGGGGTAGCTGAGTGGTTCTGCCAGCAGTGAAGTGAATATTAAATTGCAGGACTGCACCTTGACGATACGCAGCTATGCGCTCCGAATCATTTACAAGTTCCCGCCGTACACAAACGATCGCTCGCGCAGACAAATACACACAAAGCCGCACGCAGAATTGAAATGTACAATATGATAGACAGCACCGACCGTCCTATTTTTATCCAAATAAAAAAAAATTATCGCAGCCTCGGCGCTGTAACTGAGGTCAGCGCCGGCAGCGAGGCCGCCGTTATCGCTTCCGCGGCAAATATCGGCGGGGAAGGGGGGGTGGGACGCTTCACCAGTGCCAGCCGGCTTTTCACCAACGACTCACGCCAGGTCCCTCCACCCCACCACCTCCCTCCCTGGCCATCGGGTTCCGCTTTCCCCGCCCGTCCGCGCCGCGGATGAAGTTGGAACGCTGTCGTCATCGTCCGTCTGTACAGTGAACTTCTTTCGCACCGTACGTAGCCAACCGCGCCAATCGGAGGTGCGGGGAACTCGGAGGTGCGGCGTGGGGAGCCGAGTTCCCGACCTCGCCGCGCCCCGATAGGAATCGACGTAAGGCAGTCATCGGGTTGATCGATGATGCGGGGATTCACTCCGGCCACTCGCTCGCTCTCTGGCGGTCAGCCGTCTCCGCGTCACTCTTCTATCGCCACTGCCGCGGTCATCACTTCTACACGTTTGCATTCTTCGAGTTTACAAAGCCGCGCCAGGAGACCCCCGCACGCTTTGCGTCTCCGCAGACGGAGCTCTCGTACGACGCTCGCCCCCCCTGCCACCCCCCGCCCACGATGCCGTGAAATCTCTCCGCCACTGCAAACAACCGCCCATTCCTTGACCCCCCTCATAACGCGACCCCCACGAGCCGGGCCTTCTCTCACCCGTGGCCGCTGCTCCCGTGAACGTCCACTCGTCCATGCCGAGTACTCCGTCTACCAGAATGACTCTTTCATCTCGACTTGCAGGGTGTTCAACCAACCACCACACCTGCGGGTCGCATCACCGTCTGGCCAGAATGGAAGAGTAGGCCAAGCACTCCGGGGCAGTGCTCGCAAGTGGAGGCGCTTCTGCCAGCAGTGGTGCGAGCAAGCGTTTGAAGGGCTGCGCCGTCACCCTTCCACTAGCAACCAAAACGTCTTTGCGATATAAACGCGCGTGCCATCTGTTGCCAGTGTCAGTGATAACTCTTGAATGTTACTCAAGTGTATCATTATCTTTAGAGAGGAGCGGCAATCTGCAAACACAACGAGCGATCTGCCCGTTCCACGTCAAAGCACCGATCCAGGACCACTGAGATCCTGCGTTTCAATCCAGGGCTCGGCTGCCTGAGACGAAACGGTGCTTGCGAGCGTGCACGGTAGTGCAGTGGTGTGTAAACATCGCAACTCAGGAGACAAAGGCGGGCCCGGGTGTGGTGCTTGCCACCCACCCCCTCGTGTGCCGCGTCAGCCTTCATCGCTGCTCGCTTACAGCACTTGCTCCTATGGTCGCTTAAGGCTATATGGGTGAATTTTGTCTTTGTAGTGGTTTCGCGCATTGTGCTATGAAGCCAACCACTTGGGTTCAATTCCTGGCCATGGCGAACATTAGTGGTAAGTGACATCCTAATGTGGTTCTGAGCCTTTCCGCGGTGCTGGCCACCCACCCCCTCGTGTAGCTTTCCGGCCTTAATTGGTGCTCGCTAACAGCTCTTATTACGAGTCCGTTAATGGCTTGCATGACGAGTAGAGCTCAGCGGTGGCGTGCAGGAGATCCCATGCCGCACACACAAACCTTGCGATCCGAGGTCAATTCCCAGGCGTGGCTAACACCAGTAAGCCTCAAATGATTACCTGGTGCGACGTGTAACCATCACCAATGGGGAGGCAAAGGCGGCCGGGCATGGTGATGGACCCCCCACGTGTGTGCCGTGCCGGCCTTCGTAGAGATGCTCGCTAACAGCACTTGTCACAAAAGTATGTTACAGCTATACAGGGGATCTTTGTCTTTCCAGCATAAGGGCCCAGAGCATTACTGCACAGGTTCACATTACACAAACACAGCTGTTGGCGTGCGTAGCGGAGGCCCTTGTCGCAATTTAATTTGTCCAGTGTTGTTCAGAAGGTCAAAGGGTTAAACCTAAAGAATGGCAATTACTTTTACCCTGACTATCAGTGAAGGAAGCCACACACACATACCCACACATACTCACACGCGCGCACGCGCGCACGCACACACACACACAACTCCGGAGCACAGTAACTGAACGAGCCTCAATTAAATAGGCCAAGCGCATCTCATTTTCAATCAATCTCTGGCAAACCGCTTGCTCACACTGAATTTTTTTTTATTTGCTTACGTCGATACGCTGTGAAATATTAATGTGGAATTCTTAAGTAATGACATTGCGCAGGGAATTAATACGAGGGCCCGCTTATGTATTTATGCCGCACGGCAAAAGCGAAGAAATGTATAATAATATGAACGCCAAAGCGAGGGGAGAACGAATGAAAGAAAAACGAACGGCAATCAGTGGGTGACACGATGCGGCAGCTCCCTCATTAATCTTGAGCGCGTGCGTTTTTGACCTCATAACGCACACTTCACACGACAAAGGTCACCGTCGGCGCTCGCGCGGGGGCTGGTGGCAGGGGCAAGCATTTTCGGATGGAAAGTCGAGCAGACGTCGCCACGCGCTGGCAGAGAATCCCCCATTCCCCGCCTCCACCATCGCCCCCCCAAACCCTCTTCATCAGCCTCGCCAATTCCTCCCCGAATATCAAACCTCAACGCCTCTGGCAAACTGACTTTCTGTGCCAAAAAAAAAACTTAGAAATACAAACAATGTGTATATATTTACAAAAAGATGACCGACCGTGCACCGATTGTGCTAAAATATAGCGCGGCAACGCAATGTAACTTGAAAACGCTTCATTAAAAAAATGAGAGCCTTGTATAACGATAATAGCGCAGCGTGCTAACCACTATGCCACCACCACTCCCCCCATCGCCTTGTGTAATTTTCACCGTATTGGCATTACATTTTTCCTTCTGTTGGAATCCGTCACTTCATTAACACATCCTTATTGAATACGGAAAATATATAACCTCTATGATATGCTTCTGAGAGTAGAGTACTTCCTAAAAGCTTTATCTTCAAGCCACACACAGCTGTGTAGACATAATATACAAGGGTCCCTTTTAAATCATCCAGCAGGCCACAAAAACAATGCACATCGATTGATCAATCAGATGCAGAGACCAAGACCTGGCTTCCATAATTCCTTTATTTATTCTGGAAAGCTTCGGGAAGTCCCAACACAATTTTCAGGAGGACCCTGCTTACGGTGTTAAGCCAATTTCTAATTTTGGTAAACTACACTCTTGGGGAAAAAGAAAAAAAAGAAAAAAAAAACACCCCCCCAAAGAATGATAACTCGCTCGCGAAAAAAAACACGCTTGTTGTAGCACATGTCGTTTGGCATCACGTGCGACGTCTGGCTTCAAGTAGCGCGGTGGTAACAACTCGGAGGGCCTGGCTTCGATTCCTTGACTGTGGCGCCTCTTTTGTGCGGAGAGTGTACGTTTTCTTGGTTCTTTCGGTAAAGTCACGTAGGAAGGGAAATAATAAAATAATAAAAATAAAACATAATAAAATAATTCTCACGACGTTTCGGCCACAACGCAAGCAGCCGTCCTCAGGTGACAGCTGTCTTTCCGACAGACCTGTTCTTCACCTGAGGACGGCTGCTTGCGTTGTGGCCGAAACGTTGTGGGAATTATTTTATTATGTTTTATTTGTATTATTTTATTATTTCCCTTCCTACGTGACTTTACCGAAAGAACCAAGAAGATGAATCCCTGCAGTCACGAAAGCTTAAAATCGAAATTTAGTTTGTAAGTTCTCCCACTGCTCTGCATGAGTTTCTCCTAGGTCCTCCAGTTTCCTCGCTTAGCTAAAAAGCACAACCCCCCCCCCCCCCAGCGTAATTAGCATTGGGCCCAATATCCCAATGCTTGAAAAATTATTGGAAAATCACTCGGAAAGTGGATGACAACATCGCAACGCCAAACTGCAACTGCACAAAACTTGCTGCACCCTCCGAAAAAAGGGGTATTGAGTAATTATTTCCTGGCAGAACCAGCGAAACGATAAAAAGCACGAGAACTTGTGTCAGAAAGCGGAATCAACCCACGCGGGGCACAATCGTTGACACATCGTGCCAGACAGCACGCGGACCGCCCTGAAAACCGCGTCGGGAGAGCATACGCGGCACAACCGCGAAATACCGGTGGCCACGTGTGTTACTTGCTGTACTGCCTCCCAAAGGTTTACCTTTTTTTGACCCCGCAACCCAACTCACCGGCTTCCGCGGCTGCCGCCAGCAGGGAGGCTTCATCCGGAAAATCGAGTTCAAGCATGAGGTCATCATCATCGAGCTCGCAGGACGGCTCACGCCTCGAGGCATCCTGCAAATATCCACCCACAAACACACGCGCGCGCACACACACAAAACAAACAACACGGAAATTAGACTCGCAGAGTTTTATGCAATCCCAGGCGCAGGCTCGCACGAAGGAAGGTAGAGACCGTGTCGATGAACGAGCAAAGCGGTTTACGTTTTCGCCACTCCAGGCAGGTGGCGCAAACTCACGAGCACCGCCGATTAGCGCGGCTAAGTACGGTGCGAAAGAAGTTCAACACGCGCATGCACGTATGTTGAACCTCGATCGCGCCGTACGTAGCCGACCACGCTAATCGGAAGGCAGCGATCGCCACGGTCGGCCGTTTGTCGGAGCACAGCGATCGTACAGCTGAGATCCTGCGTACGAGTAGCGCTATATTTTAGCCGCCCGTGATTAAAACGGGGTTTTTGTTTCTTTTGCTAAGTCACTTTATTGCACAAACGATCCAGGTATACACAAAGGGCGTGCATGGGAATTAACGACAGTATAGAGAGACAATGCGGAGTACAATGATTGTTACAAACGTTTAATATTTTGAACCTGTCTCTGGCCACGTGTCAATAAACTCTACATCCTTGATGTCTGTTTCCTTAACTTGGATAACCCTCGAAGGGAAGGGTCGGCAACCTGCAGCGCCAGAGCCGCATGTGGATCTTAACGGACTGCTTCATACCGCAATGTGTGTGTACGTATATGTATGTGTGTATGTATGTGGAGCGGTAGTGTAGCGGTTAGCGCGCTGCGCTCCGAACCTGACGACACGGGCTCGATTCCCGCTCATGGCCAACACCAGTGACGATTATCTGAACCGGTCCTGGGCCTCCCCTAGGTCGACTTAGCCTCAAATGAGTACCTGGTGCGATGTGTAAACATCACTACTAGGGAGACAAAGGCGGCTGGGCGTGGTGTTGGCCAACCACCCCCTCGCGTGCTGTGCCGGCCTTCATAGGTGCTCGCCCCTACAATCTGTTAAGGCTATAGGGGGATCTTTGTCTTTGTATGTGGACCCCCCTAAAGAAACATCTTCGCCGGTTAGAAACATTTAGGCTGGCCTGCCTACGATCCATCCTGGGTTTAACCAGGCTGGATTGTGTGAGCTCACAAATCCTTGAAAGATCTGGACAAAGTCCCATCGGTGAGCTCCTCTGGCAGGCAAGGCTGCGTTGGCTGGGTCACGTAAGCCCGCATGCCCAGCCACCGCATGTCTAAATAGCTTTTGTTTGGCCAGATAGAGGGGGCTAAACGGGCGCGGCATGGGCTAGAGAAGAGATGGAGTGATGTGGTACAAGAGGATGTGGAGCTGAGTGGACTTGCTGATGACTGGTACCAGCGGTGTCAAGATCGGCCTCTGTGGAGGAGGCTCGTGAAGGACGCTACTGGGCAGTTGGAGGCAGTTGCCCTCCAACAACAACGGAGGGCGGAGGAGCGACGCTCACAAGAACGAGTGGAACGCCGGGTGGCTAAAACACAGCAAGTTGGCACAGTAGGGGGCACAGGTGGTGCATCGGCCAGTCATCTCAGTCAGGCGACCCATGGCACCTGGATCTGCCCCGTGACCTCCTGCCAGCGGGCATTCGACACTTCACGTGGCCTCAACGTACACATAGCCTGGCACAAGCACCGTGGTGACGTCACCGCCATTGAGTGGCTAATGGCGTTTGTTGTTGTTGTGTGTATGTGTGTATGTATGTCTTTGTGTGTGTGTACTTGTTCACGTGCGTTGCGGCTCTTGAAATATTGAGTTTTTTTACCGAATTCGAAAAAAAAGTCTCTTGTTATTTTGTTTGCCCATCCTTGCTCTCGGGAGAAGGTTGGGGGAGGGGAAGGAAAAAATAAAAGGGGGGCCGGGGGGGGTGAAGGGAAGGGGTGGGCGTACCTTAATACCAGAATAAATTATCTTAAAAATCAATGCCCACTGGAGGAGACGCCCTGGAGGGGGTTGAAACCGAGTTTTTAAAGGTAGCGGAGCTGATGGTCTCAGCTCGATCGATAATGACCGCACAACAACAACAAACCCCCCGCCCATCACATTGAAGTTGATTATTCACTTCATGTGGCCAAATTCCAGCTGACACAACGATGAATATGGAATTGACCGTCACGCAACAAACAACGCCATAGCTGCGAGTGCCAGGACACGAACCCTCCTCCCCCCCCCCCCCAAGCTGTGTGTGGGATAGTCGGGCCGGGTTCTTCAGGAAATAAATCTCACGGGGGAGTAAAAAAAAAAAAATCTTCCGCAGCCATTCGCGGGTCCGCGTGGCACGCACCGCACCACTCCGTGAGGTTTCCTCATGGATTCTCTCCGTCCCGTGACAATGCCGATAGCGCAACTGCGACAAATCGAGATTCCAAAAAATCATTATAAAATTTTAAGCCAAAATAATTTTTTACAAGCTCGATGCTCAAAAAGCATAATTTCTCGACCGGGTGTTTGGTAAAAGCTCAGGAGTTCCGTTGGGACTGCCGCTGCAGCGATGGGTGGCAAATCAAACGATAATGGGCCTTAAAAGCTGGCTCAGCGCAATCTCACGGACAATAAACGCGACGGCGACACCTGAGAGGCGTGGCACGACGTTGAGCGACCGCAGACGCGGCCGCGTTAGGACGCTGTATAAATCAAAATCGTAATTACATCATTGCCGCCGCCGCTCGCTCGCTCACTCGTTAAGCTTTGGAAAACACACAACACCAGTCGCGGCTCCCGCGAGCATCGAGGCATCATTGGTGCTAATCTCCCGTTTTCAGCCCCGAGCCAGCGGTGGGAATTCCTATGGCGAGTCCATTCCATAGAGCTACCACTGTTGACGTCCCCGCAAAGTGGCTACTCATTTTATCGACCGCGTAGGGATGATGGGGCTGGGTAAATCCCCTCCCCCCCCACCACCCACCAACCAGACTTTAAAATTACAAAACCTTCAAACTGCGAGTCGCTGGCTCAACATGCTGGATCCGGCCGGCCAGATTGTGCAGACATTTGCGCAGCTTAAAACTCTCTGCCGCTCGTATTTGGGAGGAACAAAACCAATTACTGAACGGTTTTTTTTTGTTTCTCCCTCCACAACTCCCCCCCCCCTCCCCCCACCATTTTTGTAAAATATAACAAAATGGTCAAAAGTTATTTTGGCATCAGAGGTTTAATAAAACTGTGGGGGGAATGGGGGGGGGGGGGGGCAATTATCGGTGAAGACCAGCGCTGTAAAGCGTTATCAGTCTGGTTGCGAATTTATGAAACTGTGCAGCGATGAACCCTCCTGTGTGCATGTGAGCCTCCAAGGGGAGAACAGGGATCTGTGTACAATTGCTTGCCGTGTTTGTGCGTGTGTCTGTATGTGCCTGCGTGCGTGTGGGGGGAGCGGTAGTGTAGCGGTTAGCTCGCTACGAAGCTGGCAACCCGAGTTCGATTCCCACCCACGGCCAACGCCAGTGACGATTATATAAACTGGTCCTTGGCCTCCCCTAGGTTGACCCAGCCTCAAATGAGGACCTGGTGTGGTGTGTAAATATCACCACTGGGGAGACAAAGGCGGCCGGGCGAGGTGTTGGCCACCCACCCCCTCGTGTGCTGTTCTGGCCTTCATAGGTGCTCGCTAACAGCACTTGCCCCAACAGTCTGTTTAGGCTATACAGGAGGTCTTTGTTCTGTGTGTGTGTGTTCGGGTTAGGGGAACAGCAGTATCCTAGTTAGTGCGCCCCACAAACCCGGCGACCCGAGTTCGATTCCCGCTCGCGGCCAAGGTCGGTGACGATTGTCTGAATGCTGTGCTTCAAAAATCCATCAACCAAAGTTCAGTTCCCATCCACTGCAACATCAGCAGCGAGCGATATCAGAACCAGTCCTGGTTCTCCCATATCTTTACTCAACCATAAATGAGTGTGCTCGATGCAATTGGTAAACATCAGCACTGGGGAGACAAAGGCGGCCGGGCGTGGTGCTGGCCACATCAGCCTCTCGTGCACCGCTCCGGCGTTAACAGGCCCCAAAAGCCTGTACAGGCTACACGGTCAATGCTTTGTTTTTATTTGCTCCGAGTGTGTTACGAGTGTGCACGGGGAACATCTGCGAGCCAAACTTTGCTGGTATGACATCAGGCTCACTATCAAACCACGCAAAGACAGTCACGCACGGAGCGGCGCGCACACACAAGCATCACGTGAAGCGTTTTGTTGAGAAACATGGGCTGCTGCTTGCACTGCTGCCACTGCTGGCACGGTTGCGCATCTTGCCAGCTGCCACCAATGCATCCCACGCCTCCGATGAACGCGGTTGGCTTTGTATGGTGGCGAAAGAAGTTGAACATACACACACGCACATCAGTACGGAACCATATTGCAGTTCCATTTATCGCGTAATGGTTTGGCAGCCGGTTCAGTTGCACAAGAGGTAGATACGTATTGTTATACTGGTAGGAACGAAGTGGACCAGACCACCAATAGATTAATGTGTCCGTCCGTCCGTCCGTCCGTCCGTGGGAGGGGTGGTGTTGAGGGTGGTGTTGGAAATGAAAGACTACGAGTCTTTAAATCTCACAGCGTTTCTTGTCAAAACAAACACTTTTAATTAACGTTACACTAGAATACAGTAATTTTTTCTTTAACTCCTCTATACCCGGTCGATATCTCTGTACCGGTACTAAGTATTATTCCTACCAGCCCACCCCGCAGGGTCCTGTTTATTAGTTTGGGTGCCAAGTTATGGGTGTCTCTGTTATTTGGTATGCCTTCCAGTCCGCAAATGAAATGAAGACGACAGTCTGTAGCCAAGTGGTGGCAGTGCTGGCCCATTAGGGTTGCTAAGCAGAAGTAATTTTTGGTCCACACACACCCCACCCCCCACTCCCTCCAGAGAGATATATAGACAAGATACAGAGGTGCAAGATATGGAGAGAGAGAGAGGCGAGACGGAAAGCTCGTGAAACGAAAGACGGGAGATGTGGCCAAGATAGAGATGACAGCAAATCAATAAAAAAAACATTAAACGTGAATTGGCTTGTTACGTTTAT